GTCTGGATTTTTTATTATACAAATATTTCTGAAAAATGTAGTTTTTCCCATGACCACACAAGGCCACATCATAAAGGCTTTTATTACCAAACTGTACAATGTCCCCAACCAAACCATTCAAGTGACTGTAAAACAATAATTTGACCATGGCCTCCCAAGTGGAATATACTCTAAGGACCAGAAGAAGTGCAGAAATATTTTAAAGTAGGCGATTGTTGGTGGGAGTGTTGGTATTGTTGTTCTGAAACTATTGTGCATTGTGGGGTAAAACAAATGAGTTAAATACCAGTGTCTTTGTGAAACGGGATTTTTGGTGTAGGACAAAGAGGTAAAGATTTAGTTGATACAGTTAAAGTAAAAACGCTATAATTCTGCATTTCAATTGGAAATATAACTTGGAGCTCATGGTGTTTTTATGCCATTTCCCAACTTTATCTTAAAAAGGCCTGGAAACAAAGACCTATTAGCAATGAGCATGCTATTGTTCAAACTGAGCTATCTCAATGCCATTTCCCACTAAAGGGAAATGACTAATTTCAGGTATGGGGGAGGAATTTTCCAAGATAAGCAAGGAAGCTTTCAAAGACTTAAGATTGTATCAAAAGGTATCAGAAGCTACTAGAATAATTCTACTGGCCAAAGATAGGCAATTTGAGTGTCAAAATGAACAGTATCTACAATGAATTTAAACATATTTGATGTGTTTAAATATGCTTAAATCTGAGTTCACAATGATTCTTAATTGTAGTAAAGTACACACAGCACAATATTTACTACTTGAACATTTTAAGTGTACAGTTTAGTAGTGTTAAGTACATTCATGTTATTGTGATCAATAAAAACATACATATTAAAAAAATAAAGCATATTATTGTGCAGCCAACCTCCAGAACTCTCCTGAGACTGTATTTCCATTAAACATAAATTAAACTTATTTTGAGATAATTATAGCTTTATGTGCATTTGTAATGAATAATAGAGAGAGAGAGATCTGAGTGTTCTTTACCCAGCTTCCTCCACCCTCAGTGGTAACATCTTGTGAAACTATAGTACAACATTACAACCAAAATAATAACATCGCTACATCAAGCTACAGGCCATTTCCATTAGAAGAATACCTCAGGTTGCCACATCCCCACCTTAACATCTAGCAACAAACACGTTATAGTATGCAACCTTTGGGATATTTTTATTTTATTTTAATTTTTTTTTTTTTTTTTTTAGAGAGAGAGAGGAGAGAGAGGGAGGGGTGGAGAGATAGAAACATCATTGGGAGAGAAACATCAATCAGCTGTCTCCTGCATGCTCCCTACTAGGGAGTGAGCCCACAATGGCCGGCATGGGCCCTAATTGGGAATCCAATTGGCAACCAATCACTAGCTTCTCTTTTCATCCTCATTACAGGGTCTTTTGCAGAGCAAATGTGTTTTAATTTTGATGAAGTTTATTTTATCAGTTGTTCCTTTTACAGAGAATGCTTTTGGTGTCAAATCTTTGTCTAGCTCTTCTAAAAGTTTTATGCTTCACATTTAAGTTCGTGACCTACTTTGAGTTAGTTTTTGTATCAAGTCTGAGATCGAGGTTAAGGGTTTTTTGTTTGTTTGCTTATGAATGTCCATCAGCAATGTGTGTGTATATATATATTTAAATTTTGTTTTATTGCTTAAAGTATTACAAAGAGTATCACATATGTCTCCTTTTTTTCCCCTTTGACCTTCCCCCAGCCTCCCCTACCCTCCAGTGTCTTGTGTCCAATGAGCAATGTATATTTAAAAAGCTATTTGTTCTTGCCCTAACCGGTTTGGCTCAGTGGATAGACGGTCAGCCTGCAGACTGAAGGGTCCCAGGTTTGATTTTGGTCAAGGGCATGTACCTTGGTTGGGGCTTGATCCCCAGTAGGGGCATGTAGGAGGCAGCTGATCAATGTTTCTAACTCTCTATTCCTCTCCTTCCCTCTCTGTAAAATTAATAAAAAATATTTTTAAAAAAATCCTATTCTTCATTTAATTGCTTTTGCACCTTTGTAAAAACAAAAAAGTCAATTGGGGGTATTTGTATGGGTCTACTATTGGGTTCTCCATAGAACCGATACATACATAGAACTATGTATTTATCCTTCTGCCAATACCCTACCACTTCGACTGCTATAGCCTTTTAATAATTCTTGGGTAAAGTCTTAAGTAAAATGGGAAACCTGATTCCTCCCACTTCTTTTTCAAAATTTGTTTTAGCTCTTCTAGTTCCTTTGCCTTCCCATATAACTTTTAGAATAATTTTGTCTGTATCTACAAAAATCTTTCCAGGATTTTCCCCTCACTAATTTTAATGTTTTTGGTATCTAACCACGATCCTATTTTATTTTGAGAAATGTCTTGATTTTGATGGTTGACAGAAATTTTGTGTTTTTTATTTTAAATATCACTGAAGGATATTTTTTCCATTAATTTTTTTCTCTTCTCTCTCTCTTTCGCTTTTTTAGAGAGAGAGTGGAAGGGGGAGAAAAAGAGAAACACCAATGTGAGAGAGACACATCGATTAGTTGTCTCCTGTATGCTCCCTGGCCGGGGTGGGGATTGAACCTATAACCTTGGAACATTGGGACAATGTTTTTTCTTTATTCTTGAAGGATATTTTTACTGGATATAGGAATCTGGAATGACAGTCTTTTCTTTCAGCACTTAAAAAATGTTTGTGCCACTTCTTCTGGTTTCCATGGTTCCTAACAAAAAATTTGCTGTCGTTCAATATGTGTCATTTTTCACAGTTTTCAAGATTTTTTTTCCCTTCGTTTTTCGCTTTTAGCAGTTTGACAATGATGTGCCTTGGCATGGATTTGTTTGCATTTATCCTCTTGGGGTTTGCTCATGTTCTTCAGTCTGTAGGTTTATCCCTCTGCCAAATTTGGGGGAGTTTTCAGCCTTATTTTTTTTTTTTATTAACAGCTTTATTGAAATACCATCCACATACCATAAAATCCATCTGAGTTTTGTCAAGTTGCATTCATTTGATCGCCTATGGGCTTGGGTTTGATTCTACCACTTAACACTGTATCTTCCATTCACCTCACTTAGTTCTTGGTTTTATTGTCTCTCCTGCCTTCCGGGTTGACATCATCCCACCTCATTCCATGTTTTCCTTCCTCTCAGTTTAGTACACACTCTTTCTATCTTTTAGTGGTTATCTTAGATTTCTTAATGTGCATGTTAACTTAAATTCTAACGTTTACCCTTCTTACAAATAACCTTGAATAATTCCAGTGCAGTCATGTCTGAAGTTGCCCCCTTCTCCCAGTGACCGGAGCCCTCAGTTCCATCTTCAGTTTGGCAGTTGGACTGACATGGGCAGTCACCAAGGCCATTTCCTTCCTGCTCCTTGAACATGAAGGGGGAGCAGGGGCCCGTGAAGTGCCCCCTCGAGTTCCCATGCTCTCCACACGGCTCCCTCGTCCCTCACCCTGCAACCTTTTTGGGGGGCTTTCTGGCCTCACAAAAGGAAGCGGGAGCCAGGATCTGGTTCACCCCTTCCCTCGGTCTGAGGATCTGGACCCCTATTCTCAACAACCCCTGTTCTCTTTTGCGCCCATGACCTGAGCCCCATGTGCACTTTACACGGAGGAGCCTGAGTCTACACAGACTGGGGACTGTCCAGCATCATAGGATTGGGGATTCTCTTGAGCCTCCCCTGTCAGTGCAGCCACAAGTGGGAAAGGATACCCAGTGGCCGGCCTCACAGCAGACCAGGCCCTGGGCAGGATCCAGCCCTTCCTGCCCGCCTTTTCCAGGTGCCACTCGGACTTGGCCATCGTCTTCTT